AGATCTGAAAGTGAAAAGCTACTTGGGAGCAGGTAGTAGCTTGAATGTAGCCAGGGGTAGGATTCAACCGGTGTTACTACCAGTTCAGTGATTACATTTTGTGTGCACATGCATGCTTCGTTGTGCACACAACAGCTCGGACAGCTGAAAAATGCTTTGCATGGGTGCACGTTTGAAAAGCCTCTTTTTTACTGCTTTATCAACATGAGCTGTGCCGCGCAAAGCAGCTGAGGTTGAAAAAGCAGGAAATAAAGGACAGGTAAGAGCCCAGGCGGGCGGGTGGGCCAAAGAGCAACAAACACAGAACTGTTTTGGTGTCTGTTGCTCTTCAGAGCTACTGGTTCTTTAGAACCGGGCAGAACCGGTAGCATCCCATCCCTGAATGTAGCATCTCACTAAAATCCTGAAAGCATCCCTGCTTTTTCCCAATCTTGTGAGGTTCTGTTTTGAGAAGTTGCAGGGAGGTATTATATTTCTGCCACTATGTACAGGTAGCCTTCAGCTTATGACCATAATTGAGCCCCAGATTTCTGTTGCTAAGTGAGATATTACTTAAGTGAATTTTCCCCCATTTTACGACCTTTCTTGGCACAGTTGTTAAGTGAGTCACTGCAGTTGTTCAGTTACTAACACATTGTTAAGGGAATCTGGCTCCCCTGTTGACTTGGCTTGCCAGAAGATCAAAAAAGGTGATCATATGACTTCAGGACACTGCAACAGTCATAAATATGAGTCAGTTGCCAAGCCTTTGAATTTTGATCATGTAACCATGGGGATCCTGCAGTGGTCATAAGTGTGGGGAAACAGTCATAACTCACCTTTTTCAGTGCTGTTGAAACTTTGAATGGTCACTAAACGAACTGTTGCAGGCCGAGAACTACCCGTACTCCATTAAGAGCGTTCTTCAAAATTCTGAGAATTTTGTCACAAAGAATGAATTTAATCACTGCCCTGTCAGGACTTGATGTGATCCTAGATTAACAAAAATCCCCTCATTCCTACTCTGTATGCTGTGCCTTTCCCCAACAATCTCCTTACTGCCTGTTGTATGCACTGTTTGACTGTATGCAAGCAAACGGAAGAAACAGGTCTTACGTAGAGAAGCTGAAAAGCTGCCAAGCTACCTTTCCCCTTGAAAGACCTGCAAAGATGGCTGAAGTCAAGGAGCACTTGCAAATGGACTGACATTCCACACAGGCACAACATTTTGAAGAATGTTAGTTTTAATGTGGTTTCAAATGCTTTGCATATGAGCCAGAAATAAATCACCTGAACTTTCACACTTAGCCAATATCATGGGAAAACAGAAGTCCTGCTTTTGAGTGGGCATAGAGACCTCTTGTGGAAATGCAAGAGAGACCATGAGGGAAGCTTGGAATTTAAAAGATGCCCACGTGCAAACAAGTAGAAATCTGTGTTTGTTTTAATGGAAAACCTCTAATGATTTCATTGGAAAAAAAAAATGAGAATGTGACAATTCTCAGAAAGAAGCGAGACCAGATTAAGTATCATCAAAACATCTTTAGTAATGCAAACTTGAAAGCAAGTGGCTAGTTAGAACCCCAGGAATTTAAATCCAGGAATTCAGATAATCCCCAAGATAGGAATCCTGCAATAGATTCCGTCAATATTGGGTTGAACTATCTGATGGCACATATCCAGAGTTGTTTTGAAATACGGTACTAGATTTGACCTTTAAAACACTAAATAGTTTGGGTCTATTTGAAAGATGGGCTATACCATCCAGATGTATCTGTGGTCAAATGTTCAGGTTCAGGGACTCAGTTTGAAGATCAGCCATTCAAACAGACAGGCATTAGAAACACAATTATTCTACCATTATTTATAACCTAATATTTTTGGAATTTTATGCAATTAGTTTCATATTTTAGGCAGCTTGTGCTGGCCCTTAAATGGTCTTTAGACCTCTTATTTTTATTCCCTGCTTAACCCACAACTAAATTCTACTAACTTGTCTTCAATCGGTTTATGGGTTATGCAACTGGATTATGCAAGGTTTTGGACTCATGATTAAATGTGTTACTGTGCCAGGAAAATGTTTTGTTCCAAAACAGAAATAGCATTTAGACTTATATACCACCCAAGAGCAATTTACAGCACTCTCTGGGTGGTTTACAATATCAAAGCATTATTTGCATATGTAATCTGCATCCTCATTTTATCAACCTCAGAAGGATGGAAGGCTGAGTCAACCTTGAGCCCCATCAGGATCAAACTCCATTCATATACAGCTGAGCTGTTACCATGGAGAAATGGATGTGGATCAAAACCACATGCATTCAAACACTTCTATTCTGTTGGGGTATACAATAAGGTTATTAATGGTATTTTAAGGACCACTTGAGTGCCCATTCTGAAAGCAAATATTCCTATTTCCTCAATACCAAGAGTTTCCAATAATGCAAACCAAGTAAAATTTATTTCATTTTTAGTCTATGTAGGTTTTCTACAGACCATTTCATAAAAAGCTGTGAGGCAAAATATCACACTTTGCTAAGATTTCACTTTGTTCTTCAGCTTTATAAGAACCATACTATCTGCCTGACCAAGGCAGGGGTGTCAAACTGGAGGCCTGTGGGTCAGATGCATCATGCACAGGCCACACCCACCCCAGCTCCATGAAGGGGAAAAAGTCACAAAATGGCACGTGACAGCAGCGTGACGTGGCGAGTTTGACACCTGTGAAGTAGAGTGAACTAGATGAGAATTAGAGAACTAGAATTACATGAGAAAGGAAAACTAAAAACGATGCAAGAACTGAAAGATCTAGGATTAAAGATAGAATGGTGGGCTTACTTACAACTACAGTCGAGATATGGTAAGGATATGAAAGAATGGGGAATTAGTGGGCAGAAAACAGAATTAGACAAAATAGTAAATTAGAAGAAGAAAAGGTAAAAGAAACAATGCTGGCCTGGATGAAAGATTTTGGACATAGCATAAATTTGGATGATTGGCAAACCGTATGGGATAGAAATAAAAAAAATAACCTTGGCGGCACCATATAAAAAAAAACTTATATAAAATGTTTTATCGATGGCACATCCCACCATCAAAATTTGCAAAAATGTACCCAAAACTATCCCCCAAATGTTGGAAGTGCAATAAAGAAATTGGAATGTATTATCACTTATGGTAGAATTGTGAGAAGCCCAAACATATTGGCAGAAAATTCAGAAATGAATAGAAGAGATGTGCAAAATTAAAACTGAATTCAGACCCGAATTTTTTTTATTGGGAATTAATGTGGGAAAATACAATAAGGATGTAATATACTTAATAACCCATGTCACCACAGCTACAAGGTTAACTTATGCCGAAAGATGGCTAGGGAGAGTATTTCTAGAGACTATTAACTCACTAACTGAATGAGTTCATTTAAGGCGACCAAATTCCAATTGAAACCACAGATTGATTTTTTTTTTTTTATACCAAGTTAATATTTGGGCAAATATTACCAAATCTACCTCAAGGCCGTCCGAACATTTGGTTTTGTTCAATAAACCCTAAATGCATAATCCAATAGTATTCTCATACAGCAACTACTATGATAGGACAATATACTCAAATTAACATGTTTGTGTATAAAAGACAGGGCACAGGTCATCTTACTATTAGAGCAAGTAGGAATCTTTACTGACCTTTAAGAAAGAAAGTGAAGAGAACACAGCTGATGACAGAAAGGTGATCAGTAGGAAAAGAAATGTTTTGTATACCGAAAGAGCCAAACCAGTTTAGTCCCGTGCTATATATGGGTGATATAATTGTTGGAACTATTAATTCAGGACCCTGTAAGCATTTTAAAATGTAATTTTCTAGGCATCTCTGTTTAGAATTAAGCTCCAAGGAATTCAGTGGATCTTACCACCAAATGAGCATTAGACAGTAATATCTAATAATTCTTTGGAGGAACCAAATTCTATAAAAGAGAATATTTGTAGCTCAGGGTTGAAATGAGGGGCCCTTGGTACTCTCTAAGTTTCGTTGTTTCATTACTCAAACTGTAACATTACCTGTATTTCAAGTTCAGGAAGGCTGGAGGGGAACTCTTCCATCTTGTATCCACTTATGGTACTAGGATACACTAACCATTGGGTTAACTATTCTCCATGTATTTAGGGTAAATGATTTTAATGAAACTTAAATAGTCTCTTAATAATTAGCTGGATTGGCCATCCACTTGTTGTTAGATGCCCAATTATATCCAGCATAGCCAAATGGTGAGAGATGATAGGAACTTCATTCCATTGAGATTTTTTATTTCATATTTCTGACAGTTATAATTTGAATCAAAATCCTGGAGGTTCCATGAATTATTATTATTTATTTATTTGGTGAATATCTAACTTCAGTTTAACCATAAATCAGTACATGGTCTTAACCTGACGTTAGTAATGGAGTTCTGGTCCCAATTATAATCGTAAATTGAGAACTACCTATAAAAGTTATGAATAGAATATATGTAGAACAGGGTTTTCCAAACCTGCCAAGTTCCATATTTGTAGACTTCAACTCCCAGAATTCCCCAGCCAGCATGGCTGCCTGAGAATTCTGGGAGGTGAAGTCCACAAGCCTTAAAGTTGCCAAATTTGGATGTCTCCAAACACCTTGCAATATTCTATTAGAAGGGCAAAACAAATCACAAGTACTGTCCTATCAAGCTGGGATTGCAGCCCCTGAAAATGATAACCAGTTAGGATGGGAATCTGAGAATTGCATACCCAGCATTTCTCTAAGTACCAGTTATGAAATTATCTGAATATTTTGGAGACGGAATCCAACAAGTTAGGGGAAGACTTTCTCTGTTTTGATGTCTAGAATACAATAAATGCCTAGTGAACATTTCAGCTCATTTTGGTGGGTTTATCATTGTGCAAACTCCTTTGGCCTTTGCACTTTCTCTATTTAAACAATTTATGGGAAGAGAAGGTACACGCTGCAGAATGCTTGGTTTTTCATTAACATTTGAGTTGATTAATTATATCCTTACCAGTGGCTACAAATAAGCTTCCTCTGATTCTCTCATGTTGTCTGCCACCAACTGTCTCTCCTTCTCCTTCTCCCCTTGGGGATCTCGTACGATCAACTATGCATCTCCAGCTCTTTAAGCAACAAATCTAATAAAGGTTGGAAGCTCATCTTTTGCACAATTCTTTTGAGCAAGTGACTACCAGCAATCATGGATCCACTGGCAAGAAACGCGCTGATGGGAAAAAAACCTAAACAGCAGTTAACAAAGGTAATACTTATCATAAGATATCTTACTAGACTTCCAAATCAAGATTGATGCCCAGCATCTTACTTAGGTGCAGAATCCTGCAGTGCATCCCTAAGCATGGTTTAGTTTATACATGGGTGTTCAGAAAGAAAGGCCAATGTATCTATTGAGGCTTACTTCAGGGTAAACAAGGGGCAAAGTTGCAGTCTCACTCATTACTGAGATAAGTTATTATAACTGAGGTGGAAAAAAATGAAAAAAGAAAGGAAAGAACATATTCATAATTACAATCCAGAAGCTGCAGAATTGGGGGAAAAAAACAGCTCTTTTCTTGCATCGATAGAATACATTGACTTCTTTCAAATATGTTCTGAATAAAACATGCTGTCGGTGGCTTTCACACTGAGAATGTTGCCTCTAGACAATTTATGAATGTCATTATCAAACATGCTCTTTTCACAACAATTTTCACTCTCGTGAATATTCTTGTGAATGTTTTCATGCAGCCCCATCTGGCACACTTCCATGATTTAATAAAACTGAAATGTGATAGTAGTTTTCTGCAACTTTGGAGACAATTATCCTTTGCTTTAAAGAAATATTACAGGATTCATTCAAATTTGCTAACGGTGTGATCCTATGCATATCTAACTAGGGAGAAAACAAGTGGGTCGGTAATCTTTAGATTTTTGGGTTAAATTATTTTTTGATTGAAACAAGAGGAGTCCCAAAAGCGGGGAGTTTTTATTTTTAAAAGAAGAAAAAAAATCAAATGAGCAAGCAAAAAGGGAAAAGAAGAATATTATTGATACAGAAATATAATATCAATGAATGGAACTAGTTTTACTAAAAAAATTCTACCATTGTGGTCTGGAGATTATGATGTGAGTTAGATCATGTTGACTGGGAACTGCAAGAATTCAGTTCCAACGTAACTGGATATTAGTAAGCTGGGAACACCAGTTGTACAACTTTGTAGGATTGCGCTAAAGTTGTAAGCATACTTACTCAGAAGTCTATGCTGTTGAATATAATTAGACTTAACTGAGAGTCAAATCTACATTTTCAGTTTCAAGCCCATACCGATTATTATGCATGAGATACAATCTTGCAATTTCTCTCCAGGTTAGACACCCATGAAACAGTACACACATTAGGACTTCTACATCTCAGATATTTGTGATTTGGTGGTGATCTATCCTTCTTACTTTTCTTTTTGCCACATTGTTCTCCTTTCTTGCATTAGCCCTCTAAATGTCATTTCAATTTACGTTTTATCAGCAGTTTTTGGTGTGGTTTGGTCTGGGACAAATGCATTTAAACAAAGATGTAAAAGAGCCATTTCCAGTGGTTGTTGATTGTCTCTTATAAAACTGACTTCAAAACGTAGCACCTATCTAGTTAAAGAAGGTAATTGATTTTTGGACTTTATTTCCAGAGTTTCTAAGATTATGTCTTTGCAGAGGTTGCTTGACAGTATGTACTGTACTGCATATGCTAAGACTCTAGATTTATTTTATTTATTTTTATTTTTTGTCAATTGCTTACAAGATAATAGGTATAAGTAAAAAACATAGTTATGAATACATGGATACATATAAGAAAAAAAAAGAAACAATAGGACAGGGACAGTAGGCACGTTGGTGCACTTATGCATGCCCCCTACAGACCTCTTAGGAAAGGGGTGAGGTCAATAGTAGATAGTCTAAGGTAAGTAAATGTGTTTATTTTCAACTCTATCAAAAGCTATTTTTTTGACATGAAACTGATTACAATGCTCACATTCTAAGAGTGCAACCCTATGTAGACTTCTTAGGCTGTAAATCACACTCAACATAGTGGGACTTAATTTGGAATAAATATACATAGGATGCAAAGTGTCACAGAGTAATGATATCACCATGTGACACAATAAATATTAATAAATATATGAAGCATGAACTTTATTTTATAACAGAGCCTACCTGGTAATCTGGGGCACAAAGCCCCTTCAGAGCCCCTTTAAATGTCAACATCAAACGGAATATTTTAATATAATAAAAACAGAAAATAATTAAACCCATGGCCAGTCTTTATGACATTTATTTAAGGGATATCTTTTAATTTAAGGGGATTTAAATTGGAATTAAACCCAATTTAGCTTTGTTGTGTTTACATGTGCTTCTTTAGTTAGGCTTCCTTCTGGAGTGGGTTTCCCATCTGAAAGTTGGGTCAGACAATAATTTTCTGCATTCCTGACTTGAAGAGATTCAAAAGGGAGTTGAAATTTGGAAAGAGTGTGTGGCAAGTTATTATTTTAAAAAAATATCCTTTCTAATGTTTTTCAAAAAATTGCATAAATCATTTGTGCAATACTTTGCTCTTATTGGTTCCTTGAAGAATACAGATAGTCCTCAACTTACAACAGTTCGTTTAGTGACTGTTTGAAATTAGAACCCCACTGAAAAAAGTGACTTATTTTTCACCCTTATGACCATTGCATCCCCATTGTCATGTGATTTACATTCAGCTGCTTGACAATTGTCTCACATTTATGACAGTTCCATTGTCTTGGGGTCATGTGTTCATCTTTTGCAGCCTTCTGACAGGCAAAGTCAGTGGGGAAACCACATTCATTTAACAACTGTGTTCCTAATTTAACAACCGCGGTGATTCACTTAACAAATGTGGCAAGAAAAGTCATAAAATGGGGAAAAACTCACTTAACAAAGTTCTCAGTTAACAACATAAATGTTGGGCTCTATTGTGGTCGTAATTCAAGGACTGTAGTTAGAACTGGTGTTCCTCAACTTACAAGTTTTTGTTTAGCGACCATTCAAAGTTAGAACAACATTGAAAAAATGACTTATGACAGTTTTCTGATTGGTGACCGTTGCAGAATCCGCATGGTCATATGATCAAATTTGGGGTGCTTGGCAACTGGTTCATATTGATGATGGTTGCAATGTGCCAGGGTTATAGTATCATCTTTTGTGACTTTCTGACAAGCAAAGACCTTCCATGGGGAAGTCACTTAACAATCATATCAGTAACATAACACCTACAGTGATTCAACACCTACAGTGATTGACACCTTTGTTGAGAAAGGTCATAAAATAGGTCTTAACAACTGTCCTACTTGTAACTGGCAGCGATGCCAACCTGGAGTTGTCTTCTTATCATATTCCTCAGTTCAGTGAAAGATTTTGTCACACGTGATTTTTCCTGTGATCTGGAGCATCCCTGCTTTTTCTGCACTTTTTAAAAAGCCAATGGAAAGCATGTGGGAGCTCAGGGTGTAATCCTCCCCTTAGCTTTCCTCATTCCAAATGTAGGACTTTCAGGCCTCAGAGTGATCAACCCAACAAGGAGGCCTCAAAGGGATCAACCCAACATCAATAGCATGTCCACATGGAATAAGCTCCAAAACTTTGAGAAATCTGTAAGAAACAGGGCTGTAGACAAATAATCAGTTTGGAGATTCAGTATGAAAACATCTCAGCAGAATATCCTACTACAGGGATGGGCAACTTCTATATGGCCCCTCTACAACCTGTGAACTTCAATTCCCAAAATTCCTGAGCCACCATTCCATGCTGGGTCAGGGTTTCTGGGAACTGAACTCCGCAAGGTCGTAAAGGAGTCATAGTTGTCCAACCCTGTCCTAAAAGAATTAGGTTTTTTACATGGTACTGATATATTGATATATGGCTGAAGTGATCCCACGATGAATAGATTTGATCCACTCTTATGATTCCTGTCCTACAGGCATCTCTCCCCCACACCCCTCAGATTCTAGTCTGAGTTGAACCCATTCAATTCAACATTACCATTCAGAATTTTATCAGCTTGCAAATTTAATCTTATCAACATTTAAAATGAAAGCACCCCTTTTTGCATATTTTTCTCGATTACTCTGAGAATATACAGACAAATTCATCTTTCATATGGCAAGAAAACTCTTGAGGAGTTCCGAGACAAATTTCAGCAAAATATTAATTGGGTGTTTTGTTTGCAAAACAAAACATTTATTATATTAGTACTGGTAGTGTATTATCTTTAATTTGTGAAAGCATTATTCAACATCTTTTTAAGACACAGAACGCTAGTCCAAAAGGCTCAGAGTAGAAATAGTGAGGATTTTTATTTTTACATAGTGACTGCTGGGATGTGTATTAGAATTTTCATTCTTCCTCACAATGGCTGTTCTGTGATGGGCTGGGCTAAGAGAATTTTTAGCATCTGACAAGTGGATGGACCTAGAATTCTGTGAGAGAGAACCCAACGGCAGAAAATGGCAGTTACAGAGGTACAAAATCAATACTTCTTTTAAAGCCTATATATACATGAGAAACTGTATGTGTTAAAATGTACATGCTACCTCTGCTCAGATAACTGGCTGGTCCCAATTTCTCGGTAAGGAGGAAATTAAAGGTAAAGGAGTCCCTGCGGGTTTTACTCTGCTAGTCATACCTGATTTTAGGGAGTGATGCTCATCTCCATTTCTTTAAGCCATTGAGCCAGGATTGTCCGAAGATATTTCCAGGGACACATGGCCACCATGACCCTGCATTGCAGGGCAAAACATAGTGTAAAACACAGTTATCTTCCTGCCAAACTGGTATCTAGTTATCTACTTGCATTAGCTTGCTTTTGAACCGCTAGGTTGGCAGGAGCTGAGGCAAATGACAGGAGCTCACACCATCACATAATGCTAGGTCTCGAACTGCTGGAGCATAGACCTTCCCTGGCATCTTTTAACTCACTGAGCCACCATCTCTGACAAAGGAAGGAGGGGGAAGGAAAAATTATTGAGGGTGACTTCCAGTTCAGTTTGCCCGCAGCACATTTGCAGTCAATTCAATCCTTATTTCCAGATTGGAGCAAGCGCGCAGGTCATTCAGTTCAGCCCCCAAAAATATCATTTATTAAAGCTTAAAAAAAAATCAAAAACAGCTAACTTGCAAAATGGGACTGAAAGCAGGTAAACACAGAAAGAAAGAGAGACATGGAAAAACAGGCAAAAGATGAAAGGGCAGAGG